AGGTCGACGGTGTCGATGTCAGCTGCAGATGAGGCGGTGTGGTGGTGGTGGTGATGGCGGTGGTGGTGGTGCTCGTACTGGTGCTGGTGGCGGCGGTGGCGCCGGTGGTGATGATGTGCGCGGGCGATGGGAGGACGGTGGAGCCGGGCATGATGGATGTGTTGGATGTAGTGGATGTCAGAATTGTGGTCAATTTCGCTCTCGTGGATGTGCATGTTGCCGAATAGCCCCTTGGGATGCGTGACGGTGCGAGGGCAGTGTGGGCAGTGGAGGCGAGTGCGGTGGGTGTAGGTTGGTGCTCCAGGCACTGGTTCGCCGGTCTCTGTGCGATGGATTCGCAAGTGGCCGACGAGGCCAATGTGTGAAGTGAACGTGCGGTCGCAGTGAGGGCAGGTATAGTCCTGATCCCCATCTCTGGATTCGAAGGTAGTGGGGGTGGTGTCGGAAGTAATGTCAGGATTGGTGATGCGCGAGATGGTCGCCTGAGCGGCCGTCGTTGCAAGAGTGGAGCAGGAGGAGGAGAAGGAGAAGGAGGAGGAGGTTTTTAACAAGCTTGCAATGATGAGATTTTTTAAGACCATTCAGTGTCCCTGCGCACAACATTGTAACTGTCCGTTTTTAAAACCTTTTTATACTCCTTCCTCGATGGCGTAATTCTCTATCAAAGGATTGAAAGAAAGCATATTTTTGTTCATGGTTTCTCCAACATATATTTGAATTTTCAAAACCGTTGAGAATCAATGGAGAAAACGCATGCTACATAAGTAGTCATTTTTTACCGACTACCGTTTCTAGAGGAGTTTTGAAATCAGTGTATTCAAAAGCTGATCTCCTGCCAAGTCCGAAATTTTATAGGATTATACCGCAGAATAATCAGTATTACAACCCCATCTAAGTAATCTTCCTACACGAAAACGCCTTTCAGAATTTTAGTGAAAATTTCATGAGATCGATTACTCATTGTAGATGCTGGTGGCTGTGGCCCTTGTTTTATTCTTAACTCCAGCCACTTACATCTGCCACCTGATCAAGTCGCCGAAAGATTGCCCTTTGTGGAAGCAGCTGGCTGCGCACATGCAGAAGCTCCATTTCTTCATGTGCTTTATTATTCAGCAGGTGCGTTGATCGACATTTCCTGTAGATCTGTTTAACAATTAATGGCAGAGTTTGTTAGAACTATACCTATCGCTACTGACCTAACTCATGAAACTTGTCGAAATTTACGAATAAATGCCAATCACTCGCAAACTGTCACCATTACATGAGTTAAATGTCTATGTTAATTAGGTACAGGTTTAATAGAAGTAAAAACATAAAAGAAATATTAAAGACAGTGTTCCGCAGTTTAGAAGTTCCCATTTATTTTGAAAAGCGCAATATCCCGAAAACGTCAGAAATGGTTTAAATTTAGTAAACTTAGTTTATAAATGCATAGACTGTATTCTCGTGGTAAAAATGAGAAATGTGAATGTATACACAAAATAACGTCCAATAACAGTGTTTTTGTGAAGTTTACATCTAAACATCATTTAATAAGTAGAGTTATTTCATATATGACGGTTTGTCAACGGCCTACAATCTGAGTGTAAATTTCAAAACAGTTTAGCAGCGAGTAGTGTGAATTTTGAGGCGTTTGAAATAAATGGGATGGGGTTCAACAAGAGAAGCTAGAATTTGCTTGATTTCAACTATGCGGACTTCGTAGGAACAAAAGATTGCGTAAGGTGTCATGCAATGAGGCCGATCGGTGCCTAATAAATTTAAATAGAACTGATAGGCGTAATCGTAAACACCCTATTTTCTGCTTAGAGAGCGAACATTTCTTCCGTTAAATTAAGTTACGCTGTTTGTTCGTTTTTAATTACGTATAGTTTCAGATCGGCATCGGAATGTTGCTGCATACTTCAGTATTTTCCGTTTTCACCGGATCGCATATAAAGACAAATTCTGAATTACCTGTCTGTTGAGAACATTAAATTAAGATTGCTCTTGAAGTCAGTTACCGAATTAGTGAGTGTTCAAGCGCTCCCTTTCACAACGATGGTCGTTTTGGTAACATAGGCAGACTGTTTCAAACGCTACAACCAAAGTCAGCAACGAATTCGCCGTCGTAGGCTGATCTCTATTTACTGCGCACTTTTGCACTGTGAGGCCAGGTAAAAATTTAACACTTTTGGCTGCTTCTTTTGCCTTCCTAAGAAATATTAATATTTTTCTAACGTCAACGTCAGAACATAACTTTTGCTATACATTGAGGCTATTTCCGCTGTTTTGCTCGCTTTCAGGCTCCGTTCTTCCATAATGAATGCATGGCAGAGCGCCTATATAAATAGTGATATTTTGCTGAAACTGTTAATGTTTTCTCGTTTTAATTCTGAATAAAATATGCACAGAAGCTAAACTTCACGACAAATAGTGTTTTATAAGTTTAAAGCTGGAAATGATCCCTCGTTGGTTGTCATTTATGTGACATCAGGTAGAATTTCCCAAACAGCAAAATAGTTTCAGCCCAGATAAACAAATGAATCGCTATCTGCATTATTACTGCGCTTTCGGGCATTAAATCGCACAGATCTACTAATTTGACATTTAGAAATTGATAAAAAGTCTGGTTTCCTCACAATAACGTCTGTATTAGCAGGTTGGTCACTATGGTTAACATCGAACGTAAAATACATTTTCAAGTTGGGATAAATTTGTTTATAAAAACTCCCGCGTATAAATTACTGTCCTTTCAATGAATAAATGGCTCAGATGCTTAACCAGCGTCTGGGACAATCATTAGCATAGGAAATTGCACGAATATATTCCACCGTCAATTTTTGCTAAAACATACAGATATTATACTTGATATAATTAGGTAAACACAATTTCTGTACAAAATGACATTTTATTGAAGGAAGTTGATAAGCGAACAAAGTGCTCAACGATAAAGACGTTCAAAAATTCTGTCATCAGATTCCGTTATCAGATTTCATGAGATAGGTCACGCACTGTGTGCATTCTGTGTGCTGGATGCTTTGATGCACAAAATATTGTGTAAGGTGTCATACCATGAGGCCGGTCGGTGTCTAATAAATTTAAATAGAACTGACAGGCGTGATCGTCAACACCCTATTTTCTGCTTAGAGAGAGAACTTTTCTTCCGATTAATTAATTTACGCTGTTTGTTCGTTTTTAATTACGTTGAGTTTCAGATCGGCATCGACATTTCGCTGCATACTTCAGTATTTTCAGTGTTTTCACCGGATGGCATATAAAGACAGATTCTGAAGTACCTTTATGTTGAGAACATTAAATTAAGATTGCTGTTGAAGGCATTTAGGAAATAGTGAGTGCTCAAGCGCTCACTTTCACGAAGATGGTCGTTTTGATCACATATGCAGAGTGATTCAAACGCTACAACAAACGTCAGCAACGAATATGCCTTCCTAGACTGATCTCTATTTACTTTGCACTTTTGCACGGTGAGGCCAGGTAAACATTTGACACTTTTGGCTGTTTCTTTTGCCTTCCTAAGAAATACTAATATTTTTCTACCGTAAACGTAAGAACATAACTTTCGCTATACATTGAGGCCATGTCCGCTGTTTTGCGCGCATTTAAACTCCGTTCTTCCATAATGAATGCATGGCAGAGCGCCCATATAAATACTGATATTTTGCTGAAACTGTTGACGTTTTGCTCGTTCTATTTCTGAATAAAGTATGCACAGAAGCTACACTTCACGACAAGTTGTGTTTTATAAGTTTAAAGCTGGAAATGATCCCTCGTTGGTCGTCATTTATGTGACATGAGGTGGAATTTCCCAAACGGCAAAATAGTTTCAGCCCAGATAAACGAAGGAATCGCTATGTGCACTATTACTGCGCTTTCGGGCATTAAATCGCACAGATCTACTAATTTAACAATTAGAAATTAATAAAAAAACTCTGGTTTCATCCCGATAACATCTGTGTTAGCAGGTTGGTCACTATGGTTAACATCGGACGTAGAATGAATTTTCAAGTTGTGATAAGTCTGTTTATAAAACCTCTCGCGAGTAAATTACTGTCCCTTCAATAAACAAAAGTGTTTAAGATGCTTAACCAGCGTCTGGGACATGCATTAGCATAGGAAATTGCACGAATATATTCCACCGTCAATTTTTGCTAAAATTTACAGATATTTTACTTGATACAATTACGTAAACACAATTTCTGCACAAGAGAACGACATTTTATTGAAGGAAGTGGATAAACGAGCAAAATGTTTAACGATAAAGAAGTTCAGGAATTCCTTCATCAGATTCCGTTATCAGATTTCATGAGATAGGTCACACACTGTATGCCTTCTGTGTGCTGATCGCTTTGATGTGTGAAATAAATGTGCTGGTCAGGAAAGTCATTTTTGACATGCCTCACTTTTGTCCAGGTGGCAGTAGACTTAAACAAGCAACCGCCTAGGTGGCATTCCAGAAAATAAATGAGTGCATCGTCGAAATTATTAATATCCCATTTATTACTGTCTATAGTTGAAATAATTTGTTCGATACAACTGTATTAGGTTAGGTGCGAAATTTGACATAAATATTTCGACAGAAAGCCATCAGTTTAAGCAGAATAACCGTGTAGTATTCTCTAACTGTCACGACGCAGTCAGTTGCACGCCACATTTCGACCATCGTTTCCGACGGTAGCCGCCGTATGCTCCACAGTCAGCGTGGGAACAGGAACGGCAACTATCAATTTAAAGTGATAGTTGACTTTCGCTGCATCTAACGCACTCCCTCCCCCTTCCTCTTCGGGGTCCGATGTCAAGACAGTGCCAAGAAGACAGCTACCACGATGAAACGCCGCTCCTAGGTGTACCACCACACCCCCCGTCCACAATACACACTGACAACGATTCCATGCACCAACAAAAATACGAGTGGCGGCCTGGATCCAAATTTGTCTGCGCTAGGTTGTGCCACGACTCCCATACTGTTATGGGTGTGGATCCCCGATAACGCCTGCCGCACTCCGACCAGACGCCCGTGCTTGTGCAGCGCATCGACAGCGTAACCCTTTTCCGGGGCAACAGTAGCATAAAAACATTGCATGATTCGCCATCCTGAGACTGTCCGCATTAGCTAAAAGCCCAGACACATACTTCACGAAAATTCGGTTCTCGGTACCACCAGTGGGCCACTAATGTTCCCATGTACTTCTTTCTGGTATGTATGTCAGATATTCGCTCTGGCGTCCGACAGAGTTGTATCCTGTCACTCATACTGTTCAACAGCGCTGTTGACTGGATCCTAGGGAGGGCCCTACGTGACAGTGACGGCGTTGAGTTTTCACCCGGACATCGACTGACTGATCTTGACTATGCCGATGATATCGCCTTACTCGCTTTATAATTTGGTGATCTGCTGTCTATGGTGTCATGGGTGAACGAAGTCTCTAAATCGGTCGGCTTGTCTATAAACGCTGGGAGAAACCAAAGTGTTTTCAAGCTGCATCCCTGGTTTTGAGATGGCACACCTCGGGATTAATGGCTGTCAACTTGAAAAAGTAGACAGTTTGAACTACCTTGGTGCGAGGCTGCTATCTAATGG